ATAATTTCAACTTTATAAATTTCGTCGGAGAACGACAATATTAAATTCATCCATAACCTAGAATAATAAAATGCCTTTTCACACTCATCACAAACAAATTAACGTAAACTTAGTTACTCCTTACATTTCACCATCTCATTCGAGAACAAAGTCTGCGTGTCTGGCGTTATTCGATTTAAAAATTCCACATAATCCGCAGAATGGAATTGAGCTAGCTCCACAGGGTATGCCTTATGGGGCCTCTAAATTCCACAAAATTATCAAATTAAGCCAAAAAAAACCCATAAATAATTTTAAAAATACGAACAATTAATCAAAACGAAGGAAAATCACGAACATAAATTTCCATCTTGTTGTGTAGCTCATAAGAAAGAACCAAATGGTGAGTCATACATAATCGGTGCGGTTTCATTGGGTGACTCGGCCCAAAGTACACGTTCCCCACATCACCTGCAATATCATTTCTCTACAGTTAGTACAGTTACCGTACATATATTTAGAATACGCAAGAAAATTGAAGAGAAATGGAGAGAGCAGTAGGGTAGCGAACCGTCATAAAAGTAAGCGATTTTGTCCTTGCTGCGCATTTTAGAGCGAGGGAAGGGAGAACTCACCGCCGGGAGAAATTTTCCGGTGCTTTGTCCCTTTTTAACGTCAAATTACATTTGTATCTACAATTTTTCTAACTAAAATCGCGTTTCTAATTCAGCGACTTTGATTTTGGACTCTGGTTCTATTCACTTGTCGAGCTGAATCCGGAAGTTAATGTCCGTGGCTTTTCTAGTGTGGTTAACAAAATGTTCCCTCTTGCCTTGTTTCAAGAGTAATTGAAGATGAATAGGGATATTAAATGAAACGAGTCGAGCAAGAGCCCATTCGTCTCAAGAACGTTGGGCCCGGCTCTTCACTTGGTAGGCTCTTTTTTTTAGGTGAAAATTGCAATTTTAAGCTAAAATGCGAGTTGTCGCGAGCTGGCTAACACTGCCATGCTCGTGCATTCTATAGGGATGCTTTGATTCCATCAACCGTGTTGCATACTTACATTGTTGTGATGGCTCTATGTTCAAATATTTTAGAGGCATTTTTCATACTATGGGTTGAACATGTTCGAATAGTATTAAAGAAAAAAAACATACTTCCTACGATGTTAAAACTTTTATTCTCATCACTATTACCCATGGAAAATATATTCTCATTAGAGTAACTTTTTCTTTTATGATGACACTTGAAAAGTCCTCTCAAATTTTAGCTTGGGAGTATCCAAACATTGAAAATCTAGCAATTTTGTTTATAAATTTTAACTTAAATCATTGGACGTCATGCTCATTTTATAGATGATCTTCTCTCAAATGGTTTTATAAACTTCCAATGTGAGATAGTGCATTTTATAGATGCTCTTCTCTCCAATGGTTTCATAAATTTTCAATGTTGGATAGTGACATAACAAAAAAAAGGTTAAAATGCCCATCAAATCATTTTCCAAATGTATGTCTAATTAACAATTTGATTTTGAATCTCAACTAATTAAATTGTAACATTCACATTCATCCTTTCATTTATTTAATTTTCAAATTTAACATAAATTGCACTTGATTATTAATATATTAATGTTAAATATCATTTTCTATAAGTTTAAACTATTTTATTTTAACAAAGTAAATTATTTTAACATATTGATTTTTAATTTTTGAATTATTAATATGAAAATTAAAAAAAAAAATTTATTTTTTTCATAATATTTTATTATTTTTGTATGTATTTATTACATTCGATTCGACCCTAGTTGAACCTTGACCCTTCACCTTTTTCGAGTCAATGACTGGGCCGGTTTTCAAAACATTGTTGTTTAGTATTCTTCATTTTATTTGAATCTATTCCTAGCACATGCACTAATTATTTGTTTGGTGAAGTGGATCGAACAAAATGAAGCTAAAATTTTGTACATTATTGTACCAAACATGCAATAATCTTATTCTGAAGAGGTTCTCTAACATGTGATATGATTTCACACTACTCTGGCTGAATCTTTATCATAATCTGGTACAAGAGGAAATCTTGTTGCTTGATGAGATTTATTCCATCCACAAATTCATTGTTCTCCAATTCTAAAGAAAAATCATAACATATTTCAGCTGTACTTCCGGGAAATCGAAAAAGCATAGAATCGTGTCATTGATGACGGAACAGAAAGTTTGCAACTCATCATTATTAGCAAAGAAAAGGTCAATATGTCAAGAAAAAAAACCAATCTTGAAAACACGTGCTTAAAAGTTGAGTTCCCACGTGGACACTCGTTCAACTGAATCCATCCTCTCATTCCTTCTTCCCGATCCCATGAGACATGTTATAGATCCCTCTCCCCTGGAGAACATTCATCAGGAACAATCAGCGTCGAACTCGATCATGGATGAAAATGGCAAAAAAGATTAGAAGAGTAAAAAAGAACTCACAATTAGAAATAGCGAACTACCAGCCAAAGCCAGAGGAATTGCAACTGAGGTGATCTTATCATATGGACCTTTCAGATATGTATGTTTGTAAATGCTCTGAAATAACTTTTGCTTCTCGAAGAGAACTTCTCTTGGCCTAAAGGGTGCTTCAGACATCCTGCGTTATTTGATTATTTTATAATATTCCGTATCAATAAAATTGTGAAAAATCTACTACCCAAAATATCTTCAACACACGTCATGCGTGCAATTAAAACATACATTATAACAGTATCTGAACAAATTTGGTAAGGGGTTTGGTCTATTCCCCAGGTAGATGGAAAAAGGGGTGACTATGAAGGAACTCATATTGTAGTCTTCCATAGAGCAGTATACGAACACAACTAATATCCAATATCAAGAACACTTAATTCAGTGATTGAAGCAAAAGCAATTTTCAATATAAAGCTGAGTTCTTCTAGACGAAGTCTTTGTTTTATGTAATGAAACACCTTATAATGTTAACCTTCCGAGTGAACACCGATATATTCTCATTCCAGGTAAAAATGAAAAGAGAAAAAAAGGATTCCCTAATGCCAAGAAATTTGAAATAGGTCTACAAATATATGAATGAAGTCTATGCTTTCAACCAGTCCACAAAAATTCCTATATAAAAACAACAAAAAGAAAGAAAAATGAGAAACGATTTTCGATAACGAATCTGTCTCTTCTACCCAGTAAAGAACAAAAGTTAGAAGTATGTCTCGAACACAATTAAACACCGTAAAAAAATTAAAAGAGAACAATGCAAAAAGCTTCTTAGAGTTTCACCTTAATTGTCCTGGTTCGTTTCAAGCACATTTCCACCATAAATTATTACATCATACATTCTTGCTGGTGTAGTTCTATCATAATTGAAATCCAGGGTCCAGACACAGCCTTAAATCAATTTGTACGTGTATATACACAATTTAAGAAATACATTCTCATCTACAAACAACTGTAATCATATACATTCGATCAAACCATCCTCCACGAAAGCTGGGATTTGGTCTTCCACTATAAATTATTACATCATAAATTCTCTCAGGTATTGATTTATCCTAACTGAAATCCAGGTCAAAACACAGCCTTATATAAACATTTAATTATGAAGTTTGGTTTACACACACAGTATATAAAAAAATACACATTCTCTTCTACACAAAATGTACGACTAAACCATCCTCCACGAAAGCTCATATTTGGTCTCGATAATACAAATCTAAGATTTAAAAATCCTCGACGTGCAAAAATTCGTGTACGCATACGCAAAAAAATATAAATAAATAAATAAATACATATTCAAGAGAAAATAAAAAATGAAAAAAAAAAATGAAAACACAGATCTGATCTAAAACAACACAGAAAATACAGATAAAAATCATTTAAAGTCCCTTAACGAGTAACAAACCCTAGATATAAGAAATTGACATTAACAGAAACACAATAAAAATAATAGTTCAGGATTTGAGAGAGAGAAATAGATTTACCTAATTTAGTGAAAAGACACGAGCAAAAGAGAGATTGTCACCGGAGAAGATTGAGGAGTGCGAGAAATGAATAAATGACGGTATTGAGAATTGGGAATGAGAAGAAACCAAACGGGCCAGAAGAAGAATTCGGAGTTCCGTATACGATCCGGTGAATTTTAATCGGGTCTTTTTGTTATTTTAATAACTGACCCGGACTGCCAAGGCCGGACACTTAGAGCCCCACCATGTACAGGGAAAATTTCACAAAGCTTGACAGAATACTCACATGGCGGGCTCCACCATGTATTAAAAAATTGTGCTGGGACCCACACGTGTGAACGTGCTGTAAGTTTCCTGTGAAAAAATTCTATGTACCTTAAGCAAAACTCTACTTTAAAAGGACCATTGGTACTCTTCTCAATTAATAAACTAATAAAATTTTCAATTTGGGAAAATAGCATATTTGGATCCCCAACCTTTCTAAAACGGACAGGATAGATCCCCAATCTTTAAAAATGGCACTATGCATTTCCAATGTTTTTGGAAATAGGCATTTTAGGTCCCTAATGACAGAATCCATCCATTTCATTCGTTAAGATCGCATAAAAAGACAAAATTGCCATCCCTTTTAAAAGTCAAATCAAATAAAAAAAAATAATGAATAACAAAGAGACCATCTTTTTTCTTCACCCCTAACTACCAAAAGTAACCACCACCTACACATCAATCATCTTTTTCCACCCCAACACCCAACCTTTCCTAAACTTAGCTCCACCACCGCACTCACAACCACGCCGCCGGTCACAATCACTAACAATAGAACTTATCAACAATTAAACATGAAATTTGAGTACAAGATGAAATTTAAGAAGATATGCTCTTCTACCAAACTAATTTCAGTTACGTTGGTTGGTTTTGATACTCAAGCGGCCATCTTGCTAAATATCGATGCAAAGGTTAGAATTTACTAAACTCCCTTATAAATAACTTTAAGTTAACGCGTCTTGTGCATTCGAAATGACACATCACGAGTTGGGCTAGATGAAATATTATTTTGTCAATCTCTCCACAATGTGAAATCACTATAATTTTCAACCTCATTGCTCCAACTAAATCCATTCTTCATAGCTGGTGGAGTCAGGAGCATCCCCTCTGCCATGCTGTCGAGCAATCCTGGCATGTTAAACACTGCTTCCTCGTCCAAGAACTCGTTTTCCATATTCGATGAATCCGCCCACGAGTTGGGAGATTTTATTTTGAGATTTTCCCTCGATAGATTCGACGAATTCAGTGAATTATTAGAGGAAGAACAAGGAGATAATTCCATTAATGGTGGAGTAAAATTATTAGCAGCTTGAAGAGCAGCAATTTGTATATCTTTATGGGATGAAGATTTGGCCCTAGGGAGGCACCAAGCAGAGTCATTGAAGTTCAGGGCAGCGGCACCACCTCGCAGGGCCAACGCCGCCACATCGTGTGCCCTGGCTGCCATTTCTGGGGTGGCGAATGTCCCAAGCCATATTCTTGATTTCTTGTTTGGTTCACGCACTTCACACACCCATTTGGCGTTGTTCCTCCGCCGTACTCCTCTGTATAAGGGGTGGCGCGTCTCCTTGAATATCTTCCTCCCACCTCTTTTCTTATGTGTTGATGGAATATTAGGGTTTGCTGTCATAACTTCATGGAATGAAGAAATTGATGAATTATCTTGACGATCCATTGTAGAAAACAAACAAAGTTTTGACCCGTGGCCACCTGCTCGAAGGGAATGGAATAAAAAGCTTGACTCTACGAATCGATGAAAGACTACACTATCGTAGGTGGGGTTGGAACCAGAAACTCGACTCCATGAAATCAATGAAAGATCGCACTTTAGTAGGTGCGGTGGAACGAGAAACCTGACTCTACGAATCCAATGAAAGACTACAATATTTTAGTAAGTGGGGGTGGAACGAAAAACCTGACTCGACGATTACTAGCCCGATGAAATACCTCACTTTCATAATAGCCTGGTAGGGCAACTTGGAACTTTTTGTAGTGCTAGCAAAAATGAAGTGAATAAATTCGATCCCGAACAAATGAAGTAACAAATCTATTCTAACTCTCGACGGATTTGATGGGACGGGAATCTTAATTTCTTTTCTTAGATGGGACTTCTCAACGTTTCTCTAATTTTAAGCCAAGAGAACTAACTCTATTTATACTTGTTTGTGCGTGGATATGGTTTTCTTGATTGGGAAGAATCACGTGACAGCAAAGTTTGTGAAACATTTCTTAATTCATTACCATTCTCCCACGAGGTTCACAAAATTGAGCACGTGTTTTTGAGTTTGGACGGGGAAATGAATTTGGATATGTGGGAATCAGCAAAAAAAGCACGTGGGGAAAATAAATGACAGCAAAATAGTTGGGTTCAGACAGTGATTTCCTTACTAATAATAGAAAATTGAAATTGGGACATGAATTTGGTTTATTGGTGTAGACCAGTTTGCCCCACTACACGTGGCAACTTTGTCGTCAATTTTTTATTTTTTAATTCCACCGAAATTTAATGATTTTTTTCAGTCAATTTGCTCCAGAAGCACGTGTTTTGGGCTGCTGGGTCTCATTGTCTCTCATTTTATTTTTTATTCTTTTTTAGTATTTAGATTTCCCATCCAATAGTTCGAGTCAATTTGTCTCTTAAAATATTACATGTGCCTCTGTATTATATAATAAAATTAATTATCTAGTAGTAAGCACGTGCGTTGCACGTCTTATGTATCGATTGAATGATATATGTAATTTTTTTAAAGTAATAATACCATTTTTTTTAAAAATAATTGAGGTAATTGATAATAATAAAGAGAAAATTAAAATTTAAAAAATACATATAAATGAATAAAAGTTCTTACGAAATTATGTTTGTAATGTGAAAATGTTGAATAAATTTAAACGTAATGCCATAATTACAAAAACACTTCTTTGTGTACAATATTTTTTATCAACGTCTCACATCTTTTCTTCTTTGTATTTTTTGCTTTTTCTAAGACTTTTGTTATTTGTATTGAAACTCCGAGAAGAAATATTCCAATAGTATGCAATGTTTGTCCTTGAGCCTTGTTAATGGTCATTGCAAAGAATAAACGTATTGAAAATTGTTTTATCTTAAATTTGAATAGATCATTTACTGGAGCTAATGGAATGCGTGGAAGGAGATCTTGTTTTTTAAAATGTTGTCCAACGATTATTTTTGCATAGATAATATATTTCTTGAAATCGTGACAAATCATTATTGTTCTATTGCAAAGGCCGTAGGATGTTTCCAGATTCCTCATAAGCATACTTTTACATTAAATCCTTTTATTTGGCCAGTTTTTTAAAACTATTTAATTAAAATATAATTATGTTATCTAATCACCGAAGTTAATAAATATTACACAAATTATTACTTTGTTAATCTAATTAATGTCTAACCTATGTTGTGCTATTAATGTCAAGTTGGACTCAACACGTTTTAATTTTTTATGACACATTTTTCAATAAAGTAATATTTTCCATCACATCAATAACTTTTCCTTCTTTTTCAACCACAAATTCTCCATTAATCTATTATTTCAGAATACATTCTTAAAAAATAATGTGGATCAAACACACCCTTATTAGTTGCTCAACCATAAATCAATTGTCATGGGCATATAAATGTCACATACACTTGAAGCTTAAAGTTTTTAGTTCTTCTCTCTATTCCTTACAATTACTTGTCTACATTTGCAACATTGAAATTAAGGTCTGGAAAAGCCACAAATTAGGATGCATAACTTATCGCGTATTTGCTTATGTTTATAATTTCATTGTAATTTAATAATATTTTATCAAGCATAGAACTCACAACTACTATTCGTTTATTCATCCTTAGTTCTATTCACTATAATTTCAACTACTTTAATGAAACCAAACAAGCACCACGCATGTATCATCTTCAATGGAGGGCGGCTGGACTGGGGGAAGTGATAGTGGAGGAAGAAGAATATTTCTTTTTTTTATTTTTCTAATTCCTCATCTTTAAAGTTCCAATTGTTCTAACTATTTAATTGGATAGGGTGGCTGAAAAAATCACGTGGATGATCCCAAGTTGTTGTGTTTTAAAGTTTTCCTTTTTCATGTTCTATTTTTAATTTAAAAGAACAGTATACTAATTTTAGAACGTGCAACATAACTTTCAGAAAACAACCAATTCGCAACCTGAAGGAAAAGAAAGAAAGACGCGGCAATCACTACCATCAAATCAAATGACGAAACACAAAAAGAGGTACGGAGGGAATACTCCAACATGCACGAACAAGAAAAAAATAGCCAATGAATGAGCGACACGAAGTTGCTCGCCAAAACTGTCTCTCCACGAAATTTTATCCATTCCGTACTATCTAATACAGAATACCAAACATACAGTTCAAAAATTCTATTTTACATCGTACTTTCTCATTCAGTCAAACGAAACACGAAACATGCACTAAGAATTCTATTGTACATATGAGTCTCTGTTTGTTAAAGTAAAACATCATCCTCAAGATGCAAGCCCTCTGATAGACTCCTCAAGTGCACAACCCAAAAGAAAAATACAAGCCGTGTCCATAGAAAAATAAAAACAGTATAAGCCCAGTAAACTAATAATCAAACGTCTACCCTTCCTCTGAACTTCATAAACATCTGTTTAAAGTGCAAGTACAGCACCAAACAATTAGCCACTGTAAACTCCCTCAGAAAACATGTTCTCGGGATAAAACACTGCCTCGACTTGATTTCCACCGAACTTCCTTCCATTAAGTCCTTGTCGAGCCTTTGTTGCACTTTCAATGTCCGCATACTCCAAGAAGACCTACATAATACAGGCTGGTTAAACCCCAAACAGTGACTTCTACGAGCATGTTTGTCTAATAAGCTTAAAAGTAGTAAAACTTACATTTGGACGGTTAATTTTTCACTCTTTTAAATAAGAAATAGTTACTTAAAGTCAAAATATGTAATTTACTCATTTCTAAACTTGACCAATAAAAATTATTAATTTTCAATTTGTGTATTTACTAATAACTTTCTAAGTTCAGCCAAACATAGTCTTAGAATATGTTTGGCTAATCAGAGGAAAGAACAAGAAGTTATTTTTGTTACAAAACATTCAAATATGTTACTGTTTTAAGTAATAAGAAAAAAAAATGAGCATTTTGAAATTAACTCACTTTAGTATCAAAATAACTCATTTTCATTTCAATTTTCCCCAATTATATAAAATTTATGATTAAAAATGATGATGATAATAATCTAGTGCAATGGAAATACTTAAAATCACTCAAGTACAAAAACTTGTACCAACCTTTCCAACACCTGGTGTCGGTTCACCATTGGGATTCGGGCGCGGGATGACAATATTCACCAAAGTACCTGCAACAAAAAATCAATACCTAGATCACATATTAATAGGACCCTGGAAGTACCCATTGGGATGAAATAAAAGGGGCAATGGTCCTGCGGACACTTTCTGAACGTTGAGGCGATTCCTATTAGCAGAATGTAGGACTAGATATGGCTGTAAAGAGGGAAGGCTTAACACGAGAGCGAAAATATTAATATGAAGATTGACAAAGCAGAATGTGAAAATTCACAAGTTCTGCAGTTCAAGATAGTTGAAGCATTTACCAAATTTTCCACATTCAGTTCTCATGTCTTCCAGTATATCTTCATAGTCCTCGTCATCCTTGAGCTCGTCTTCTGTTACCACTTGTGTTAGGCACAAAACTTTTGTTGCTAGTGCTCCGGGTTGTAACATGAATCTCTGCAAAATGGAATGGAGATGAAACAATGAATTCATAGGCCCATAGTTTCCAATTGAAATAATTCGAGGCAACCCACTAAATTTGTTTAAAAGAAAATTCTAGGATAAAATATCAGGAATAAGTCGATCCCAGCCATTAGGTTCTGCAAATAGATAAATTTGACCCATATAAATGGCTTTAGTATTCATATCTAACTACTTGCTCATTATAAACACCCTCCGCTTGTAGCAATATTAAGCTAGAGTCTTCTGATCGTGAGCACAGCAAACCCCAAAAAAGCCTTTATAATTAGATAATTATCCTGCGCGAGCTGGCTGAATCATAAGAGGTTGGCTGCAACTTAGCACTTGTTTGACGGCCATTATTTTTCAAAAATGATGTTTTGAATAGTTATTATTATTATTATTTTTGGAGAATATGTGCTTAAAAAGTAGGAAAAAAAATTTGGGTTTATGTGCAAATATTTCATTCCATGTGGCAATATTTGTCAGAACTTCAGGGAACAAATATGCATCTTATCAAACAGAAATTTCACGACTCATTAAAACTCATCCATGAAGATAATACGTATTGTTTAGTGAAGAAGCTCTCAAACCTTTATATATATGGATCTTGAAGATAGCAGCATAATATAAGGCTGAAAAGTTAGCAGGGGATACGGAGTTTCCTTACCTGCAATGCAATTTGTTGCTGAGCGTGCAATAACACGCTCTCTTGTTCAGGATTTGGTTGTGTTGTACCTTGGTTAGCACGCCTAACAGTAAGCGTTTTATCCCCCATTTTTATCCCATTAAGAGCTGCACAAGCAATATCCGTAACAGATAAATCCTGGTAAACACAAAATGCATATCCTTTAGAATTTCCAGTTTCTCTATCTTTCACTAGATCAAAGCCTCGAAGGGGTCCAAAG